ACCATAAATCATTATGGGTTCGGAAGGATTTTCAAAAAATTCAGTATGAAATACAGTAGGCACTGTAACTAGTGCCAGTGATCTAGGAGTCATAGTAACTGCAGATTACAGTTGGAGTACCCAAGGTGAAGCTTCAGCACACACGGCAAGACGACAGCTGTTTCGAATAAGATCAGCAGTTTTGTGTAGAAAAGCAGATGTATTTATACCCATCTACAAAGCCATCGTAAGGCCCCACCTAGAATACTGTGTTCAGGCTTGGTCGCCCTTCCACAAAAAGGACGCAGCCTGTCTGGAGCGGGTTCAGATACTGGCAACACGGATGGTTGAGAGTATTCGGGAAAAAACATACAAAGAGAGGTTGTATGCGCTCGGTCTTTTTTCATTAGAAAAAAAGAAGATTGCGCAGAGACCTCATCGAAATATTCAAGATTAAGACAAATTTGCTCGGTCTAGTTCCTGGATCCTTCTTCACTGAGGCTCTTCACCGAGCAGCGCGTGGACATGAGGTCAAACTCATAAAACAGCGTTCTGGACGGAACTTACGAGCACATTTCTTTATTAATAGGATAGTGGATAATTGGAATAAGCTACCGTCGGAAGTGATTATACAGTCAAGTGTCCAGGCCTTTATAAAAGCTCTGGACGCCAGATGATTGGAGCTTTTCCTTGACATGAAATGTTAGGTGCGTAAATTGTTTTTGCTTAATGTGGAACGCTTCATCAACAAAGCTCTCTCACCGACACGGCGAGAAGTAAAGTCTCTCTTTCTCTCTGTTTGCAGATAGATGGAGAAACCGATCAATCGCAGAGGTGGACGCACATTCGAGGGCATACCACCGAAGGAATTCTGGACGCGTGATTAGCCTGTGGCCACTATCAGTCCTGTGCAACCTGACCTGATCTGGCCTAACTGAATTTCTCGTGCTTCTCGTGCTCAAAACACGAGGGGTCATAGCTTTAAGCTCCAACAGAACCATGCTAGGTTGTAGGTCCGGGACAATTTCTTCGCTCGTAGGGTCACACCAATGTGGACAGGTTACCCGGGGAAAGTGGTCAACTGCACCAATGTGCACAACTTCAAGGCGGTACTGGATGCGTGTTGGTGAGGAATTTTCCCTGAGGTTAGGTGGTAATGCATCGTCACCGAAAGCAGAGTAAATTGCAGTCCTGAACTATGGCATTGGGGCTTT